ATATTGCAAGTGCTCAAGTTCAACTTTTAAAAAAACCCTGTCTTTAGTACTGATGCACTGAAATTTCGGCAGCGAATGAAAACAACATTTGGACGAGAATGAATTTTCAGTTTCAGCCGAAAACGTTGCCTACAATGGAGACATTTAATTAGCACTTCTCCAATGGTGTTTTGTCTGTGTCCATGTCAGTTTAGCGCGCAGCATGGATAAGCAGGTAAACATGTCAGCTGTGTGGACGCTAGAGTGAGTTGATAATATCGATTTCTCGTTTTCAATCGATCTTCATTTTCATAAACTGAGATCTTTTATTCTGTGCTGTTTTTAGTTGATGCATGAACAAAACTAAATGTTATTACTCACCTACCATCAAACAATTTCAGTAAGCTTTGTGCTTAAATTTTGATGTTATTGTGGCGTGCCAGATTGCTGTAGTGGCCTGAGTTCACATGTCACGTGTTACTCACCAAGAAAAAGGTCAAGGAAGCTGGCATGGTGTTAAAACACCAACCAACTTAATCATGAGGAAAAAACCCCAAAAGAAACTTGTGTGCGCGTAAGATGGAAATATCATGTCTTCAGGTATAGCCTGAATTCCCTGTGAGTTCGAAAGAATTTTTTGTGCGTGCTCCTCTCCACATCTTTATATTACTAATACAGGTTATTTTCTTAAGAACTGAGCTTCCCCTGTGTGGGAGACTATACTGCAAGGAGGAAGTTTCCGTTGGAATAGACTGTTCTTTGTTAATCACGATGCCACATGTAGATAGATTTGATGTCATACGCATAAACCATACTGTGTGAAGCAGTTTGCTGAGAATGGAGTAATAAGATAATGTCATGTCAACTGATGTCAACAAATGTTGCAAGAACTACATGACTTCACCACTTACAGCTGTTCCAAGCTCATCCGTACTAACCCTCCAATAACTGACTGTTTGATGAATTCAGCATTTTGATTTAACAACAATGTGCAAACTAACTCTGTTAAAAAAGAAAAAACTACATGATGCACAAAAAACAAACAAACAAACACGTTACAGGTTGTTTCTTTAACTTCATGATTTTCAATCGTCAAAGTTTTTCCACATTTTAACGTATTATGTTTTAATAAATTCGTTTTTTTCCACTCACTTTTTTTTTTTTTTTGCAGGACATACTTTTGTTAATCTTGATATTCGCTTTGTTATTGAAAGATCAGAATCTTAATTCCAAGTTAAGGAGCTGCCTTTATTGCCAAGAGTTAGCGGGATATCAGTAAATTTCACTGAAGTTTGATCAAGATGCTTTTTTAAACGTTTCCTAGTAAATTGAATTCTGGATCATGTGGTAATGGTGCCCCAGAATTGTGGACAATCTAGCCAGTCTTTCCTAAAGGTCGTATTTGGGTAAACCGTTCTGAATTCAGATTTCATTTAGAGTTTTATTTAGTTATTTGGTGTGTGTGTGTGTGTGTGTGTGTGTATATTAGGGCTGCACGATAAATTGCATGCGATATTTAATGCGCATCTTGTCAGTAAAGCCGGTTCTTTAATCAGCGGTAAATCTCCATCACGTGCGTGCTTTCACATTGATCTCCATCACGTGCATGCTTTCACATTGAGCAGAATTAACTATACAGAGCCGTTGTTCACTGACGAGCTGCGCAAAACCACGTTCATATTCGTGCAATTTTTTTTTTTGCGCAGCTCGTCAGTGAACAACGGCTCTGTATAGTTAATGCTGCTCAATGTGAAAGCACGCACGTGATGGAGATTTACCACTGATTACAGAACCGGCTTTCTGACAAGATGCGCATTAAATATCGCATGCGATTTATCGTGCAGCCCTAGTATATATATATATATATATATATAGACTAACATGCACTATTCTGATGCATGCAGCATTTCTACTTGACAGCAAACAGATGTTGACACCAGTTTATAGCAGATGCAGTGGACACTAGAGACGATTAATTGCAGCTTTCACACCTTCTTGACTTGGTCTAATTTAAAGGGTTAGTTGACCCAAAAATGAAAATTAGCCCATAAATTACTCACCATCAAGTCATCCTAGGTGTATATGACTTTCTTCTTTCAGATGAATCCAGTCGGAGTTATATTAAAAATTGTATTTGATCTTTCAAGC